GGTTAAAACCTTACCACACTTCCCATTGATCTGGACTACGATAGCGACCACACCTCTCTGCTTACAGAGGTAAGTTTGCTTAGGAGGGCAGTTTGCTGACTAGTTTTGGTTTTGCATGTTCAACTTTAGTATAGTATCCCTCCACAGGGGCTCTTGCTAGAATATAAAATTTTCCAATGAATGTTGAAAGAGTATGAAAATCTAATTCATGTAACCCGTTTCATGCAAACATCTACCTGAGGCTAAAATCCCCTATTTCCCCTTTGATCTTACGTTGGTTCTAGACCCCTACTACGACGTTCTTTCTCGTAATTGATTCGAGCCCTTTCTTAATGCTTTCATTGCTTGAAATATCACTCACCTTTTGCAGTCATTGCATCAAAATCCATCACTGGCAAAGTCAAGGTTGTCACAAGATTTATTTACAACATCAGTGCCCGTCTTACTACCTTGCCTGCCCAGTGTGAGATTGGTCAATATGCTCGGATAGTTGCCTCCAAACTAACAGGCTTTGTCAATATCCAGGTTACACAGGTAAATAGAGGATAGTAATCTTGGTCAATGCAAGCAAAGGTGAGCGGACGAACATACATTTATAACTTCAAAATCAGATGAGTAAGAAAAATATCATAACTTCCAACTTACACACCATTTCTGTCTATCAATCTTATTATATGACACAAGATGCAGGCCGCACATGTAAGAAATAAAGAGAACAGAAACGCATCATTCAAACTTCTTTTTGTATGAAAAAATTCGAATAAGGGACATGTACCAGAGGAGAATATATATATACATGACTTGACGAAACGCATCAATCTTTCTTATCTGTTATCCAAAAGACGAAAAAAGGCACTCCCTTTATCGAACAATCTTGATGAACATGATCTGATGAGAGCACTTGGTCAAGCTGCCAAAACTGTGTGTTGTCTTAAGTGTTTGTACTTCGGTTCCACATTGAACAATCTCCAGCTTTCTCCAAAGTCTTTAGACAAGACCAGCTTCAAAGCATCCACCCCTTCTGCTAAAGCTCCATCCATCTTTCCAAGAAAACACACAAATAGAGGCCATAAATCCATTTTCTACTGTTTGATATAAGCCGCAACAATGTTTCAATGTCAATAAATGCTTACCTGCTCACGAGTTGGCATGCTGAATTTCTGCAATAAGAATGCCTTTGGGTCCATTTGTCCCGGAGGCTTCCCGATTCCTGACCATTGTTGTATAATAGTAATAAGAATATCTTGATTTAGCACCAAAGATCTTCATGAGGGGAGAGGAAATGTTATGTGCGACAGAGGTCCAAACTAACCTATTCGTAGCCTTGCAAATTCCTTGTTGCCTTGGAAATGGTGCATTACGCTTTTTAACCTGAGAAGAACACAAGAATAATACCCCTACCATTTAAACAAATGTCACTGTCTCAGGGATACACCAAACAAGTATGAACATAAGAGTTTTTCGATATAGTGATTCACATATTATGATGGTAGATACTACGGTCCGAAACATGTGACAGAGATTGTCTTGCGAGAACTAGGGAAAACTCATTAACGTGATTGATGGACTCTGTTTTATACATGAACGCAACCTAGTGAAAAGATAATGGGATACCCATTACCCGTTGTGACATCCATGGCCTCCTTTTTCTTGAAGACGAAGAACATCACACGGCAGTTGCGTGTCATCATGCGCCTACATCACCAAATACCAGAGTAACAATGGAATCACGTGTCTTCTGGTGTCACAAGTTGTAAGGATGGTTAGGCCTTGAGCCAGAAACAGTAATAGGATTACCACAAGCACACGATTGAGAGGTAACTTGTAATAAGCCGCAAGAGGTCCACTCTGATCAATTTAAGGAGAGGCGCAGTTACTAACACAATCAACCAAAGCTATGAAGCTACAAAGTGAAAGCCACATTGAGAATCGAAACTTGGCAAGCAATAAATTTATATGGCCACATATCTCTTAAAACACTCTAATATTGATATAATCAAAACTATTAATCAGGAAGCTACTCTTACATGTCTTTCAAGCACGCAGAGAAACCATGACCTTAGTGTATCGGTCTCTAAGCCTCGTGTATCATTCAGATACATCTAGTATTTTACACAGCCTGGATCTCACAATTTCATATGCCTAGATGCTAAAATCTACATAAACTTTAAAAATGCCATATTCAGAACAGGAAGAGAAGATTACTGATTCACCGCTCAAGTTCATGTAGGTTTGCGGCTTTGCAAGGATAACGGGGATATCACCCACGAAACCTAAGAGAAGGGGCAACACAAAATTGGAATCCCTTAATTCAACATCAAACTCACACAACTTTTGTCCATATAAAAGAAAGAGGAAAAACAACTCATCTTGCTCCATACCTTGTCCCATTATAGCCTTGAAATTTACCAGATTCATCTCAATCCCCACTGACTCAGCAAAAACATCAATCATTTCAAACCCAATCTGCAGACATGTAAAATATTTGAGAATCGAGAAAACCAGATAGGAGTTGTTTAAGACACATTATCAACTAAAACATTTGGGTTACATTGCGTCTAGTTCCTTTGTATTTGTCCCCGGGATTTCCCAATCCTAGAAACAGCCATGGCCGGTGAACAGAAGTACAGTAGCAATGCCTTGAAAACCTACTCAGTATCGTTGACGGATCGATCGGGGCCAATCAAGGTTGGAAATTTCTCCAAGTTTTGAATCCCTACACCGTATTTCCAAAAACAAGCAATCTGAAAAAGAGATAGAATCATCAAAACAAAGATTAGTGTTTAAAATACTCCAAATTTGACTGTTTTGTGCGAATTTTCAACTGGAACTGTAATCAGTGTCCTAAAAGTCGACTAGCAACTAATGTAACAATACTATAATGAATGTTCTAAAACACTGAAGTAAAGAAACATCTAAAATTTGCAAAGCAACTACAGAATCGGCACACTTGCAAACAGGTATAGAGAAATCAAAAGTTTTCAAATTTCCAGAGCTAAAGACCAGAGGACATCTAGGACCATGAAATTATAATGTTCCAACAAAACCCATCACACGAGTAGACATAAAACTCGAAAAACAACTCAAGAATCCCTTGAAAGATCGGTAATTAATCAATAAATATACAAACCTCCACGAGAAGACAATGAATTGCATACAGAAAGAGGACAGAGAGGGCAAAGACAAGGAGGAATTGAAATGAGGAAATAGAGAAAGACGACTCACAATTTAGTCGGAGGGTTCTAGGAACGGACACGGGCAGGGGATTGGAAATGACATTCACGGTTAAACGTGTTCTGTTCTGGCGTCCATCGATTTTC